CTTTATGTTTTTCTTCTTTGTTTTGATGAGTAGGTTTGTTAACTTTCTTTGTGGTTACCTTGGAATTTACCCTTATCTTCCTAGATTTGAACCAGTCTATGATTACTTGGTATGGCCTTGCCTTCCTCTCCATTAGAAGGTTCTATACGTACACCGTTTATTCCTTATTTTATTGTTCTGATTCTGTTGTCATTTACAGATTAACCTCTCTCTGGTTCCCTGTTGTAATTATTTTGGTTTTGCATAGTCCTTAAGAGTTTATTTCCTAGGCTGGTATCTGGCTAGTACAATCCTGTGTCCTATATTCAGCCTGTGGTCTGATGTGGTGGGGAGAAGGTTGGGGGTTGGGGAAGCCTATATTGCTGGTTACTGGTTGTTCTGTCTCCTGCTGGAAGCTCTGTGAAGCTGCTTTCTCGTACCCCCGTTCGCTGATCTCCGATAGGAGTCTGAGATGGCGGATGCGTGCTGCGGTAGCTGATACGGGACCTCTGCATGTATCTCTCCTTGCTCTCTGTTCTCGGTCAGTTTCTTATTCCATTCGGTGCTTGGCTGACTTCTTTATCTCTTCATTTGATGGTTAGGGTTTCAAGATTGATGTGTGACTCTGTTTGACTTAGTTTTTCTGATTTTTGCTGTGAAGAGATGGCGTGGTGCTTCTGACTATAGTGCCATGTTGCCCAGAAGTTCAGTTTTTGCTATTTTTATCTTAAATAAAGCATGAAATTCAGGTATACTTACACGCTACTTTAGTGAATTTAGTAATATGTTTACATGGTTATAAGTTAATTGACAGAAAAGTTAAGAGTGCAATAAATCAAATTTTTATTAGGTAAAATAGATTAAATTGATTTTTTTCTTTTGGAATTCACTAATTTTCTAACAGACCTTGTCAGTAATTTAAAGAACATGCAGAAAAACATTATACTATAGGGTCACTATGAGTCAGAATCGACTCGATGGCAAAGGGTTTGGTTTTTGTTTTTATAAGCAAAATAGGACTGTGATGCTTTATTGAAATAAAATTAACTTGGTTATTTTCCTGGACTGAGTGCAGAAGAGGGGGGCGGGGAGTAAAGCTTTCCTACATAATGGAAATATTCCATCAAGTACTATGTCTCACCTTTTTGCATGTGTGCCTGTTGGGTAATACCGGGAACAGGATATGCCATCCCAGGCACAGTAAGGGTCCCGAGCCAGGCAGCAGTCAGCACAAGCGCTTCCGTACATGTCACACTGATGGAATCTGACTTGGGCCACAGCAAAATCAGATCCAATATACAGCTGTTGCTATAGAAATCAAAGAGAGAGGCCACTAGCATAAATGGGTAGAATTTTCATTGATTTGTTTATATTCACCACAGTGAATATTCATTTAAATGGCAGCAGTTGCTAAGAATAGATAATGGGCCATTGACACTTTCATTTCTCAGAGATTTAAATACTTTCATGAACTTAGATGTAGGAGTACCAAAATTGCCAAACTGAGCTTGACAAGAACTCAAGAAGCTGCCTATTCTTTATACATTATCTAAGCAGAAGCTCTTGCATCATCTAACACTGTTATGTCTTCCTTTAAAGATCTTTAGGAATGCCCAACAGGAGACTGGATAATTCAATGGTCTTTTAAATGCTGATATGCAATATATATAGGAATCCTTGGGTTGTGCAATGGTTAAGCACTGGACTACTATCCACAAGGCTGGCAGTTCAAAACTACCTAAAGGCACCTTAGAAGTAAGGCTTGGCTTCCAAAAGGTCACAGCCTTGAAAATCCTATGGAGCACTTCTGCTCAACTCGACAGCAACTAACAACAACAAAAGATGATATGGAATGAACTGTAAGATATATTATTCAGTGAAAAGGACAAGTTGCAGAATAATTTATATAGTATGTTCCCGCTTGCCTAAACAAAAAGGTTATTTATAAATAAATATAAGCCATACATACAATGACTGTTTGTGTAGAATTTTACACTAGAAACCAGTTATAGTAAAGTAGAAGAGAGACTTGTGTTTCATTATATACCCTTTTGGACTACTATTATTACCATTATTTGTTCAAAAACACAAGCTAAAAGTAGCTAGGGAGTAACGTTCCACCATGACTTTAAAAGTAAACTACTCGTGTCTTCTTTCCCAAAACTAGGACATGAAGAAATCTATAAAATGCATATTACTATACATTTTTGTCACAATGAAACTATAACTGTCCATATATAAGCACATATATTAATTTTATTATATCCTTTGACTGTAACTCATATATAGATTGCGCACACACATACAACTTACTCTCTTTGAAGAAATCTCCATAGAAATAACAGGTACTGGATCCTGAGGAAAAAAAGAAAATGGTTTTCCTTTTTTAGAAAGGAACTGTAAGGACTTCTACTTAAATATGGTTATAAGTCACCTGCAGTCTTATTAGTGTAATGTGAGTGGCTCTGTGCCAAGCAGTCCAGAACTTCCATTTTAATAAATAAATATGCAAATAAGATAAAATTAAATTATAGCTACTCTTTATTTTATTAATGGAGCGGAACAACTTTGTAGATGAGAAAAGCAGTGGATAATCTAACCAGCTTCCCACTCGTCTCTGGAATGCAATTTTTGTATTTGCATTTGATGATTACTTGTGCTTTGAAAACTCAAGTACCTTCAAATAATATAATGAAGTCACAGTGTTCTTTCTTATACAGTAATTGTACCATTCTAAGTAAAACAGTTATATCTTTGAAAAGTTTATATTGCTAATAAGCTGTGTGGTCTTTAATCATTTTAACACAAGCCTAAACAAAATAACTTTCTGTTGGAGTGATTCTGGTCAATCACTATGAACCCAGGATGCTTTGAACAAGATGAATAATCTGTCTTAGAATTGCTCCAGGAGAAGGAGAATCTATAGATTGACTTTGAGAACCTAAAGATAATACTAAGGATGTTCAGTGAGACTAGAGTGTCTCTAAGGAGCACTACAAACTCAAATCCATTCTGCAAGTGGAGAAATACTAGGCAGGTAGAATCCGTTCTGTGGATGATTACCCTTTGAAGAGTTGTTTTTTTAAAAGACCGAATATTTGATTCTCTATGTCACTGTTTTATATATACCATATTTTTACACAAATAACACATGCCTTCTATGTTGGTTTGCCAACTGTGCCCTCCCCCTGAGAGGTATTTTCATAAGCATTCGATGCTAATTTTTTTGCAGCAGCATTATAATATATATATGTATGGATATGTATATATGTATTTATATATTACTGTTTGTCATGTCTAATCTTCCCATTATCATTCTCTATTTTTCCCATTTCTAGTAAATTCTCTATGTAATTGAAATGCTATTATAAAATGCAGTTTACTTATCCTATCACAATGTCCACAATATGAAAATAATGTTATTTTTAAAAATTGCCTGTACTGATAATACTTATCCTACCACAATGCAACTTTGAAATAATGATTCCAGATTTCATATGTGGCATAAGTGTTATTTCTTTATAATCACAGATCATACATTGAAATCCTTTTCATGCTAGGTGAATATTGTCTTCTTTATTTGAATAGTCTGTGATAATAAAAAAAATGCATCAGGATTTTAAATCATTCCTCACTTCAAGTCCCTCTGAATTCAGAACACACCAGTCAGAAAAAAAAATGACATAATAATGTCTTTCCTATTTACATTTCACCTGTAGCTTTCTGTGAAGCATACATTTTGGCTAACCTTTTAATAAAAATACCTTGAATATCTGAAGTTCTTCTAAAATTACTTCTTCCATTGATTCTGTTTCTTGGTTGTAAATTGTGATTACTTTTAGCACAATTCCATTGTCTGTAAGAAAGTAAAAGAAGAGATAAACTAGAAGCTATGTTACACTCTGATTTTCAAATACTTAAAAACCAAGTACCCGTCGAGTCGATTCGGATTCATAGCGACCTCATAGGACAGAGTAGAACTGCACCATAGGGTTTCCAAGGTTGTAAATCTTTGTGGAAGCAGACTGCCACATCTTTCTCCACTGGAGTGGCTGGTGGGTTCAAACTGCTGACCTTTTGGTTAGCAGCCAAATGCTTAACCACTGTGTCATGAGGGCTCCATATATATGTATATATGTATATGTATATACTTTTTATTAAGAAAAATTTCAAGCATACACTATGGAGAGAACAGTATAATGAATCCCCCTGTACCTATCTTTAGCACCGTAATTATTAATACTTTTATAAATTTATATTAACATTTTCAAATTCCATCTTATTTTTATTATTCCTTTATAGTCTAAGCTTCTTCCTTCCAATTAAAAATCCAATAAAACTTTAATTTGCCTATAAGAATAATTTAGTATAGTGCTAGGAATAATAACTCAGAAAAAATAAGTTTAATTAATTTGGAAGTGCTTATCCAAGAGATTCTATGGTATTTGATTAGTTTGTTCAAAAATTATCAAAATCTATGGTTGGGTTGATAAAACTGATTTAAAATTCAATTAAAAACAGTTACCAATTCTGTAAACTAACTAAAAAGCCAAAAATTATCATCTGTTTTGAAAATCAAGGAACATAATAAATACCCCACAGTTATATCACGCAATAAGCAAGATAAAATAAAATTATTATTTTGTAACTAGTGATTTGGCTGTGAGGACTACATGTATTGCATTAAAGCATGTGTCTGGTAATTTTGAGGAGAAATAACTATCATATGTGGCAGTCTCCAACATTGTACTCATCACCTATTCATCAAACATTCTTTTGTGCTGAAAAACTGTGGTTCAATATATCTTTGAGTTAAATATGGCTTATATGACACCACAAGTATATACCTGATAGATCTGGATTTCTCTCAGCTTTGGTCAATCTGACAAGAAAGTATTTCTAAAAAGACTCTTCAACTGCTATACATGATTTCTAATTTTCAGGGTATTTTAAAATACCATACTTTTTTCCGTGATTAATTTGATCAACAATTACTCTTACAAATGTAATTTTTTTTTTTTTTTTTGAACTCTGATGGAAATCAGTATGAGTGAGTTCATGGCCAAGTAATTTTAAGTTTGTTAAAGAAATCTGATGCTTTAGTAATCTCAAACCCACAATGCAGAACACAACATTAACATTAACTTCCTAAAATAAGTGAATACAATATAACCTCTAAGGGACTTCTGGCAAAATGGAGCTCTAGACAGAAGCACCATGCTGTCCCTCCACAGCAAAGATCTGAAAAACTAAGCTGAACAGTGAAAACAACAATCCTGAAACCCTAAAACATCAAATGAAGAGATAAAGAACTCAGCCAAGCACCAAATGGAGTGAGAAAACTGACAGAGAAC